AGGCCCTGGGTTCAATTCCTCAGCACCACATAAGCAAAAAGAAAAAAGCCAGAAGTGGCGCTGTGGCTCAAGTGGTAGAGTGCTAGCCTTGAGCTGAAGAGCTGAGGGACAACACCCAGGCCCAGAGTTCAGGCCCCACGACCCGACCCCTCCCCCCAAAAAAAAATAACCAAGCTGGGATTGCAGCAGTAGTTTTCATTTTAATCATGAACTTCAGATCTAAAATATCTTTATTGCCTAAGTGTCCCCTTGCCCACAAAGGGCTAATCCTCTTAGTCTTCCTAAGCCAGAGAGTTAGTTTTCCATAGCCTTTTGATATTCTACTATTTACAGTTTCTAAAGATCAGGCAGTTTCAAGAATAGTCCCTTGATTTCTGTTGAAATAACTTCTTATTTCCATATTAATAAAAATAGCTTTGTATTTCTTTAGCTTTAATCCTAGTAAGAACAAGAAAAGGAGATTAGATTGTATTGACAGCTATAAAGTAATTTGAAATGTACACATCACAATTCCAGGAAAGCTAATCATTACTACAACCTTTGAACTATAAAGGAGTAATGCTCACACATTTTTTTCTTTGTAGTCTTGACCTTCAAAAAATATAAATACAGTCCTGAGAAACTATTTTGTATGAACAATGGTGAAATTATACATGGTGTGTCATTGCCAAATGAGCTTCAGGAGAAGATCTAGTCAACTCTTGAAGGTGGGGAGAGTCTTTGGAGTATGGTGTGCAAAGGGGCAAAGACCGAGATGGAAAGATGATTGGCATATTTGAGGAATATTGAGGAGGCATTGTAGCTGGAGGTAAATAACAAGAGAGGAGATTAGATAGGTAGCAGGACCCTAGATGAGTCATTAAAAGGATTTAGCTCTCCTAGTTATCATAAGCCACTTTAGGGTATGATTTGACTTACAGTTAAAACAGTACCACTCTGGCTGCTGTAGGAAATAGACTATATGAAATCAAGAGTATAAGCAGAGAGACTGTATTTGAGGTTTTTACAATAATGTTGGTAAAAGCAATTATGACTTGGGCTGGAATACAAAATGTGGACACATTGAGATATGGCAGATTTTGAGTATGTTTTAAAAATTGAATTAGAAGCCCGGACACCAGGTGGCTCACGCCTGAAATCCTACCTACTCAGGAGGATGAGAACTGAGGATCAGGCTTCAAAGCCAGCTCAGGGCACTAAAGGCCGTGAGATTCTTCTCTCCAATAAATCACTCAGAAAACTGGAAGTAGTGCTGTGGCTCAAGTGGGAGAGCACTAGCCTTGAGCTGAAGAGCTCAGGGACAGCGCCTAGACCCAAAGTTCAAGCCCCACGACTGACAAAAAACAAAAATAAAAAAAATAGTTGGGCACCGGTGGCTCATACCTGTAATTCTAGCTACTCAGTAGGCTGATATCTGAGGATCACGGTTCAAAGCCAGCCCGGGCAGGAAACTTCATGAGACTCTTATCTCCAATAAACCACTCGAAAACTGGAAGTAGTGCTATGGCTCAAGCAGTAGAGAGCTCACCTTGAGCTGAAGAGCACAGGGACAGTGCCCAGGCCCAGAGTTCAAGCCCCACGACTGACCAAAATAAATAAATAAAATAAAATAAAATTGAATTAAAAGGATTGCTGATAAGTTAGATGTGGATAGTTGAAAGAGAAGAAACAAAAACTAAGGTTTGTTCACCTTAGAGTTGGAAGAATGAGTTATTGTCTTCTAATATAGAAAAAAATAAAACTATAGAGAACTAGTTTGGGAAAGATTCAGAAGTAAAAAATTATTCTTGTTATGTTTGAAGTGATCATAGCTAACTTTTAAAAGGCTTAACTAATAGTTGGGGCCTAATATTTTACAAGTTTTAGTAAATTTAATTTTAATACTTTTGGCAATTTAGGTAATTTAAATTATTTAACTTTTTTGTAATAGTGAGATTGCTTTCTTGATTTTTACTGAATTCTGACTATTGTTTCTACCAATTTGATGGATTTTTTTTTAGATTTTTCTATTTATAGTTATGCCTGCTATAAATAGGGATAATTTGATTCCTCCCTTTCTATTTAGATACGTTTTTTATTTCTCTTGCGTAAGTGCTCTGATTAAGACTTGTATACAATACTATGCTGAAGCTAGGCACTGGTGGCTCATGCCTGAGGAAGTGTCTCTACTTAGCCACCAGAAAACCGGAAGTGGCGCTGTGGCTCATGTGGCAGAGTGTAGCCTTGAGCTGAAGAGCTCAGGGACAGCCCCTAAACCCAGAGTTCAAGCCCCACCACCGATCAAAACCAAGCAAGCAAACAAATACACACACACTATGCTAAATAAGTACAGAGAAAGTTGACATGCTTGCTGTGTTCCAGATCATAGCAGAAACTCTTTTAGTTCTTGTTCTGAATGATGTATGGCTGGAGATATGGCTCCAAGTAGGGAGTGCCAACAGAAGACAAGACAAAAAGCCACGTGATAGCATGAGGCCCTGAGTTTAAGCCCCCCCCCCATACACATACACCTTACTCTAAGCCAGGTGCAGTGGTGTACACCTACAATCCTAACATTTGGACTACCAAATCAAAATCCCAGTGAACATGTTAAAATTGCAGAAAATAGCAAGCCCAGCACTTTGTTTTTTGTTTTTTAACTGTTTTTTTTTTTTTTTGTCTTGTCTTTTTTGGTACTGGGGATCGAACCCAGGATGTTGCACTTGCTAGGCAAGTGCTTTGCCACTGAGCTACATCCCAGCCCAAGCCCTGTACTTTAAACATTGCTAGTGCAAGTTCAAATCAAATCTTTCTAGAAAATAGTGTTGCAAAATATGTGAAGACTCTTAGCATATTACTTCTTACCACCCCTGACTGCTGTTGCTTTCTGAAAGCTGAGGCACAAAAATCATGAGTTTGATCACCCTGTGATCAACCCTCTATAAACATATATGGTCATTCTGCTTATGTTGAAGAAAGATATATAATCATCCCTAAAGTATCTGAAATGACAGAATGGTAGTGGGATTATCTATAGTTGCAGCCTGCCCCTCCCTCACACCCACCCTCCCACTCTCCCTCCCTCCCTCCCTCCCTCTCTTCCTTCCTCCCTCTCTTCCTTCCTTCCTCCCTCTCTTCCTTCCTTCCTTCCTTCCTTCCATTGTGGGGCTTGAACTCATCCCTGAGATCTTTTTTTTTTTAACTAATTTATTTTTTTTTATTGTGAGAATACCATCCAGAGGAGCTACAATTACATGGGCAAGAGCATCCCTGAGATCTTTTGTTCAAGGCTAGCCCTGTACCACTTTGAGCCACAGCTCCACTTCCAGTTTTTGAGTGGTTAATTGGAGATAAGAGGTTCACAGGGACTTTTCTGCTCAGGCTGGCTTTGAGCCTGGATCCTCAGATCTCAGTCCCTTGAGTAGCTAAGATTGCAGGCGTGAGCCACTGAAGCCCAGTTGGCTGCAGTTTTCTTACATGAAGCTGAGTAGAGGTTTCAGCCATAAAACTGGATTACTTAGCTTCACAGATTGGGCACCTAGACTTTGTTCTTGAGAAGTGCCACACCTCTAGATTGTTAATTAAGTGATGAGTTGGCTACCTCAGTTCTAAAATCAGAAAAATGGAGGAGAGTGTAAGGAGAAATGAATTTTCTTTGGAGTTGGAAAGGATTTATGGAACAGCATATTAACAAAGATACATTATTAAAGCTTCAAAATTTACAAATCCCAAAGAAGCTTTTAGGGATTTAGGGATTTAATCTTTGACTTTTAAAACCAGCTTTCCATTGTTAGTGAGAATACCAATGAGCATTTAAAAGCTGTAGGAAGTAGTGAGACAGGCACTTACGCACTGCTAGGACAAGTTCAAATTAATAGTCTTTTCTAGAAAGCAGTATGGCAACCTATTTGAAGTTTTATCACCTCTTCTGCTGTTACCCTGGTCTAAGCCCCATTATCTTCTAATTACCACGCGCTTGCCACAACCTGCCCTTTAAATTCTGTGCTTTAATTCTCTTGTTATTAAGGTGACAGATCTTTTTGTTGAAGATGATTGAAAGGCTGTAGAAACAGATATTGGTGATTCTTGCACCAATATTGCAAATATAATAAATGTTCTTGAATTGTACCCTTAAGTGATTGAAATGTCAGCTTTTTATGCTTGATTTACCACAATAGAAAACTTCCAAAAAACAAAACAAGATGTAGAGCTGGAAATACAGTTCTTGGTAGAGTGCTTGCCATGAGGCCCTAGGTTTGAACCATCAGCACAACAAAAAAATGTATGTATGTGTATGTATCCTTACATTTTACTTACCATATATATGTACATGTATATGCCTATAAAGTCAAGACACCTTGACTTTCTTCTTGAGAAGTGCCATGCCTCTAGACTGCTAATTGACGAGTAGGCTACATACATATATATGTATACATGCATACATATACACATACATATATATATATATATGCTTATATATATACTCAGTGGTATCAGCAGCTTCATATTGGAATGGGAGATTACTAACATCAAGACAATTGACAGATGTTACAAAAGAGACTTGCTCTCTTTTCCATATAGAAAGCTAGCTGGAAAAGTGTTAATGGGCTTACCTCTGGGGACAAGAGAAATGTGGCAAGGATATGAAAGTAAGCTTACATTTTTCATCATATATACTTCTATATATTGTTTTTTTGATTTTTTTTTCTTTTCAAGTACCTGGGATTAAACTCAGGGTTCATAGAAGCTAGGCTTGCTTGTTCAGCTGGCTCTCTACCACTTGAACTATGCTTCCAAGTCTGAGTCCCCCCCCCCGCTTTTTTTTAACAGTGAGGATACAGTCATAATTGCATGTTTTACTTTTTTAAAGGAGATTTTAAAATCCATATGTATTGATGGTGTGATATTAATGACTTTTCTCTTGATTCAAGAGAATCCAAGTCTGTTAACTTGGATTCTGTTTCCTCAGAAATCTGCTTTTTACCTTATGCCTAAGTGAAGCTTTTCTTGTTTCTTTATAGGTTACCCTACAGCCTACCCTGCAGCGGCCCCTGCCTACAATCCCAGCCTGTACCCAACCAATAGCCCCAGTTATGCTCCAGGTAAGCAGAGTTGGAGCAGCAGTTCAGAAGGTGATGTGAAAAGTAGAGCTCTATTTGGAAAAACAAACCCATCTGTTGTCCGTACTGTCTTTAATTGCTCTGGGAACTAGGGCAGATCAACCTCAGGGTGGGAGTGGGAGTAGAATCTCTTTCATTTTCCTGGGGACTTGACACTGGCCCATCCCTCCTATGCTGGAATGGATGAGACATTCAGCCTCCTTTCTGGTCATCTCAAGCAACGTGCAAATCCATTCTTTGCTCAGTTTCCTTGAGGCAGCTATTGGGAAATCCAAATGTGTGTACACATATGCACGCACATACACACACAGCAGAATCCTGGGTGTAGATTTGGGAGAGTGAGAGACTTGCCACCAGAGGGTAAAAAGCTGATGTTCAGGGTAAGACAAGCTACTTGTTTTTCAGAAATAATAAAGGCATGACACTTGCATAGAGGTTAAAATGGGTTTGAAAATACTTGTTCTGTTTTGGGCCAGGAGCATTGCAGCACTGATGGTTCTAACCTCCAAACTCAGCCAGTATTTTAACACTCAAAAGCAAAAGGAAGAAAGGCTCTGTGGTTAGAAAGTCTTCTGTTTGAATCCTAATTAACCATCCCACTAGTTGTAAAGCCTTGAAGTCATCTCACCTCTGAGAGTTACATATAATTACGTACCTCAAGGTTATAGGTGGTTTTATGTAAGCTCCTCTTCATTTACTTGATAAATATTTGTTGACTGTCCTCCATACTGGGATTGAAAAATTAAAATATGTCATCTTTGTCTTAAGTAGCTTACAGTTCACTTTGGGGCCTGGCATATAAACAAATTCACTGTAGTACAGTATTGTCAGTACTATAGAAGAAATACATATTAGGAGAGAGAAAGGAGGCACAGTGTGCCTAGAGTGAAAGTATAGGGGAAGGTTCACACAGGAGCTTGAAACAGAGACTTGAAGGCGAAGTAGACTGTTTTACTTTGTTTTTAAAGCACTCAAAGGAGGAGGAGTCATTTCAGGGAAGCATGGCAGTAGGGGAATGGTTGAAGCATGGAGCCAGATGGGATGGCTGGATAACTAGAAACTATAGGTCACAAGGGCCTACAAATTTGGAAAGACATTAAATGTCACATCATATACATTTTCTTATTACAGCATTTGAAAACTTAAAAAGATCTCAGAGTTCTCCAGTTCAATCTCTTTTCTTGACAATAGGATCCAGACAAGCACTTTTGTCCCACACTACCCAATGAATCACCAACAGCTTATGGACTAGAACCCTTGGCTGATCCCCTGATGCTCTTCTGTGCCAATCCAGAACTCATGCTATTGTTACTGCTCCTTTTGCTCTGGAACATTTAAAGCAGAAAAGAATATAGGTTGTGGCCAAGTGCTGGTAGCTCACGCCTGTAATCCTAGCTACTCAGGAGGCTGAGATCTGAGGATTTTGGTTCAAAGCTAGCCAGGGCAGGAAAGTCCACAAGACTCTTATCTCCAGTTAACCACCAGAAAACCAGAAAGGGTGCTGTGGATCATAGCCTTGAGCTGAAGAGCTGAAGACCTGAGGGATAATGCTCAGGCCCAGAGTTCAAGCCCCACGACCAACAACAACAACAAAAAAGAATATAGGTTGTGCCTGTATTCATATCAAATTACACACACACACACACACACATACACCATGAAGTTAAGACAGCTGCTCCCCCCTCTTTTTCTCTCTCTCCCCCTCCCTCCTCAAATAAGAAGTGTTTTATGCAAATAAATCAGAACTTCTAAAGTTCTTACATAGATATAAGTTATTTACATAGGTATATCATAGCTGTGCCCAAAGTACCTTCGAGAACAACTAAAGGGTGGAGATTTATTTTAGCACATGGCTTCCAAGGCCCCCCTGTGCTTGGGCAGAACATCATGGTGGTATGGTAGGAATGTTACAGAGGAGAGCTGTCCACTTTGTGAACAGACAACAAACAGAGCTGCTATAGGAAGGAACCATAGCAAGATACTGCTCTCAAGGATATACACCCAGTGACTAGTTCCTCCATCCAGACAGGAAGTTCTCACCACTCAACCTATTCAAATGTTTTATCCATCAGTGGATTAAGTTATTCATTATATCAGAGCCCTCACGACCTAATCAGCTCTAAAAATGCCTTTCTGACACAACTTGAGGTATGCTTTACTAATCTCATATGTGTTTCTAAGCCAGTCAAGTTGACAAAATTAACCATCACTATAGGCATTTATTTTGGCCCCGTTATATAATCCCGAGACACTCTGGAAGACAAAGTGTTTCACACTTGAGGAAGCTACCATCACTGCCCCTGAGGAGTTGGTTAGGAGAGAGAAATTATAGACATTTATGGGCTAAAAATCTGACACTTCAGCATTGACTTTGTTTACTTTTTAAAATCATCTTCAAATAGTTATATAAAAGGATTTCAATATAACATGTCTATTTATGTGTACAATACATCTTGTTCAAAATCACCTTTCCATCATTTCCCCCACGTACACACTTTAATCAATGAAGTGACTGATTTAGTCAATCAGTAGATGGATTAAAAGATCTATAATAGGAGGTAGTAACAATAAAATCTACAGAAATTCTTTGATTAAATACTTGATGAAATTTGGTAAGTTCTATCTTGAAAACTAAGGAGGAAGTTTTGATTGTCAAACATAAGTGCTGTGAGATCTCAGCAAAGGGAGGTGAGCTGTGACAGAAGTTCATCTGAGGTCAGGCAGAAGGCAGATCATTGTCTTCATAGTCAGGAGGCTACCAGTGACCTCACTGGCAGCAGTCAGGGAAGTAGTAAGCTGAAAAGCAGAATGCAGTGAGCCAAGGAGGAAAGAAGTATTTTTAGCAAATAGACTACACTGACAAGAAAGAAGGAAGGAAGAAAAGGAAAGGAAGGAGTGAGGAATGTACAGATGACAGAGCTGGAAGGTCTGAGTGTAGTTAAACAAGCACTGGTGGGACGCAGCAGTGGAGGGAGGAGTCAGTGATGGAGAAGAAGCTGTGCCACACAGAGCCAGGCCTCCACAACACAATTCTCTCCCTTGTTTGGGGGAGTTTAGTAGGGTGCGGTGGGGTATCTCACTCTGAAGGCAGCTCTTTCTCCAGCCAAGGAACGGTCACAGGTGGATATGCTTAGAGTAAATTGAGTGGAAAGTAGAGCGTTCTTAGCTACTGCCCTTGATTTGCTAGCACAGAGTTGAGCCCAGATAAAGGGAGGCTCTTAGAGGACAAGAGATCAAGCTGTGAAAGCCTCACAGGAGGCAGTGGGAGTGGAAACTACCATAGGATAACACAGAGCAGGGTGACTTTGGAGGTCGGCTGGTGAAGGCTCCAAGCACTGAGCTACTTTTTCGTAGTATTAAGAACTGGTAAGCCGGGCGCCGGTGGCTCACACCTGTAATCCTAGCTACTCAGGAGGCTGAGATCTGAGGATCGCGGTTCAAAGCCAGCCCGGGCAGGAAAGACCGTGAGACTCCTATCTCCAATAAACCACTAGAAAAAAAACTGGAAGTGGCGCTGTAGCTCAAGTGGTAGAGCGCTCACCTTGAGCTGAAGAGCTGAGGGGCAGCACCCAGGCCCAGAGTTCACGCCCCATGACTGACAAAAAAAAAAAAAAAGAACTGGTGTGCTTTTATGGTTGTTTTTGGATAAATTTGGCAAGAAATTGGAAGGATAAGCTGAAAGCATTTCCTGAAAGATCTGAAACAGAGAAGGGTGTCTCTGGTCACCACTCCCATTCAATGTAGCACTACAGTTTTTAGTCAGAAAAATTAGGTAAGAAAATAGAAGATAAACAGGAACAAAGAAAGCAAATTATCCCTAATCACAGATACATCTACTATCTCTTGAGTGACTCCTATTTGCCAAGACTAACTTAAACTCTTTATGGATATTTTTTTTTTTGGTACCAATTCTGGGACTTGAATTCAGATTACTTTGCTAGTGTTTCACCACTTGAGCCACTGTTCCATTTCTGGCTTTTTGGTGGTTATTGGAGATAAGAGTCCCATGAACTTTCCTGCCCCTGCTGGTTTCACACATGATCTCAGCCTTCTGAGTAGCTAGGATTATAAGCATAAGCTACCGGTGCCCACTCAGTTTGTTTTATATTAATCATATCAAACTTGTGTCGGTACTATTTGTTACTTAATTATCCAAATGAAAAAAATGAGACCTAGAGAAGTTTGATAATTTGCTCCAAGATCCACATCCTGGACTCCTGCCACAAAATCACAGGAACCCTTAACCACTGTATTGTCTTTCAGGTGGGCAGAGAAGTTGGGGTTAGACCAGAGCAGGCAAGAGAGGCAAAGTAGTACAGAAAGGGAGGAGCCTGAGACCAAAAGTCACGGAGAGCTTGGAAAGCTGCTAGCACAGACAGGATATTAAGTTTTAAAAGTTTAAAATAAAAAAGCTCTCTTCTATCCTTATTCCCCCCCCCAATATTACTGTTCTTAAAAGTTAATGTATTTCTTTCCTTTTTGTGGGGGGTCTGGTCGTGGGGCTTGAACTCTGGGCCTGGGCGCTGCCCCTCAGCTCTTCAGCTCAAGGCTAGCGCTCTACCACTTGAGCCACAGTGCCACTTCCGGCTTTTTTCCCCCTGCTTATGTGGTGCTGAGGAATCGAACCCAGTGCCTCATGCATGCAAGGCAAGCGCTCTACCACTGAGCCACCTTCCTAGCCCAAAAAGTCAATGTATTTCTAAGCCATGACTAAAGTAACCCAGACCATGTGCTAAGAAACAGAAAATCCACAATAGAGGGTGGGACTAGCCCCAGACTGGAAGACTGCTTCTGATTTTAATGTGACTGGGAGAGAGCCCATTCTATTTTGACTTACACACTAGCATACACTGAATGTGTTTTGTATTGTGGGATGCTGCTCTGTGCTCTCACAGATTTCCTGACTGCAGGGAGGTTCCAGCCATAGAGAAGAGCTGGCTTGAGGTCAGAGGGAGCGGTGTAGGTTACTCTCAGCTTCCTTG